GTAGTGATGTGGGAACTCATGAAACCTTCCTGGTGTCCCCATCCTAACGCAGGCTTAATCTGGGACATGACCGCGGATGTCATGTTAGAACGGGATGATGATGCGAGTTTACATGATCAGGCCATGATACATCACCTGCTGGCCATGAGATTGACGAATAAGAAGAGCAACCCGTCCACGGAGCTGTCCGAGGAAGGTACATCGAGTAATTGGTTGAAGCAGGGCACATGCTTGGCTCAACACAGTGGGATGGAAGGACATGTTTGTAACATGGGACACTGCCTGATTACGCTGAGTGAGCAGCATCGACAACTGGCACGATTGTACGGAAGATTGAGCATGTCAGATAAGAGTGCCATGGTGTTGGTCGCAGACTGCCATGGGGTGACGGACGTAAACCTGATCACAGCCTGACGAGTTCGATTTTGCAGCATGACGAGTTCGATAGAATCGCTCGAGCGCTTGGAGCGTGCCCATGAGCTAGTGACGTCCCTCAGCGTGGAAATATTCCCTGGAGCATTACAGACAGAACAAAAGATTGGAGGCTGGCGAGAAGCCCTAGAGAATGAAATGAATCTGAAGGATAGTGAAGCCTATCACAGACCTACTGGTTCAAAATATATGGTGGGTTCAAGCTCAGCGCCGTATTGTAATAGCAAGTATCCTACGCACATGGTGGTGATGGATGCGAGGACGCAACAAGTGTTGGTTGACCAACTTTTCTCTGTGCCAAAGTGCGTGAGGTTGGCCAGAATGTCAGAGAGGTCATATGACTTGTTGGCAAAGATCTTTCGGGCAGTCCCGAAGAGATCCGAAGGCGAGTTGCAAGACGTTTTGGGTGAAGAGTTCATGAGACTGAACGAAGAAAACGTGAGTGAGTTCGAGAAACAGAAAGCGAGTGGAGCGTTACCTACTGAATTCCCCACCATAGAAGAGAAAGACGACCTACATAGAATTCTGATGGAAGTGGAACCGTTACTGGGAGCCTCAGGGTATCGGACCCGAAGGAACATAGTGAGAACCCATGGGGAGTATCCTTGCCACTGCTTAGCGCAGACGTTGTGGTACCCTAAACGCGGGAATCTGATCCTAGTCTGGGATGTGGAGGAGTTGTACTCCACGGGGTTGCCCGATCAGAATCAACAAGTATCAATCGTGGTGGTTAGCGCCATCCTAGCAGTGAGATGGTTGGAGGCTAACGCGGACACAAGTGAGCAGGAGACGGCCGTGCCGACTCCTGAACAGTTGAGCAACGTTAAAATGAGTCGTGAATTGGATCTTTTCAGAACCACCTGCAAGGTGCTGAGAATACCTAAAGCCATTGAAAGAATATGGTCAAGGCAAAGATTGATGCCTTGGTTCCGTGCAGTGATGACATCTTGGATGTATGAACGCGCGAAGCGTCACATGTCAAGGAATACGGAAGCCTATCAATCTTTCCAGCTAGATATAGGACCAGGAGCCTATAAACGAGCATTCTTGACGCACAGAAACGCGGTCACCACAGCGGTGAAGCGGGTAGCTGGAACGCCTTGTGTTACTGGAGATGAGAAGAAAGAGGTCTTAAGAGCTGACCTAGAACGAAACGTGAGCCTGTGTCTTCACAACAGCTTTTGCAGCAACCGGGAGCAGAAGGTGAATGTGGACTTGCTACCTTGTTGCAAACCGAGGCTGTTGGAACAGGAGGGTTGGGGCACGGCCCGCAACTCTCTGGACATGTTAGAAAAAGTTCTGGAAGACAGTGACGCTGAACATCAGGATGGAGAAATGATGGAGTGAAGATGACCAAAGAAGAGAAGAGAAGGAGAGAAAAACTTGATTGTCTTTGTGTGTAAAAACTTGAACAAATCAACCAAGTTTTGATTATTGAACTTGTTAAACTTTTTGTTTTGATCTAGTTTGGTCAGACCAAACTTTGAAAATGTTGCAATTGTTGAAATTGTTGATTTTAGTTACTACTATCTATGTATGTATATAAGGAGCATAGGTGAGTATATTTACCTATTTATTCACGACTGAAATTTTTAACCTGTGTAAGACACAAATTCACTGTGTGGCGACATGGTAAGTTTGAGTAAATTCGCTCGAGAAGGGTGGGTAACTCAATAACTTTCCTAGCCACAGAGTTTCTTAGTTTTAATATTGAAAGGACCGCATAAATGACTGATTATACTTGGTGAGTGAAGTTAAGTTAATTTTAACGGATGCGTGGCCGTGCCACGTCCCACTTTTTAATCACAAAGAGCGAAAAGAAGTTTTATAACAAGACGACGTAAGTAGTCAGAAAAGAAATTTTATCTAGGACACTCCTCATGGTGCAAATTTTGTGAAAATGTTGAAAGGCAGTGAGATGTAGTACGATGCCATTTGTGAACACGTAGTGAGTTGAAGTGGAGTAGATAAATTTCATTTTCTTATGCGATTTGTAAGATTGGTTACAGAAAACTGGATACCTACTTGACGATAACCCGGTGTTGTGCGATCAATAGGGACATTGATGGAGACTTGTCCGGGGAGTATGTGCCATTCTGCCGGATGACACAGCACAACCTTCCCGCGACAGAAAAAAGAGTGACTAAAGGCCTAATGAACAAAAAAGTGTTGCGACGGAGGGTCAGAATGTTCTAGAATTTTTATTTTTAAAATTTCGATCGGAAGAAGAACATTTCTGAGAAATAGAAAAAAGACGGCCATTTTGAATAAAAAAGACGAAAATCAGAACAACGATAGAAATTGTGAAGAACAGTTGTATCAGAGACAGAAAAACACGGAGCCTCTTATCGTGGCAAAAACACACGATAAGGACCTTAGCGACAGATATTTGTGGAGACGGAGGCTTCGGTGGGGGGAAGAGAAATACCACGGAACCCTCCCGGGACACGAAATATAGGAGATAAGAGTGTTATCTCAAGAAAATCACGGGAGCGGAGGCTTGGTCCCCCAGAGACTGTTATATGTGAAGGGACTGGGTAAACTGACTATAACAGCTGCTGTAATGTCCTAGATCTTAATTAACACCGTTATTATTTAATATTTCAGAGCATGAGTAGATAGAAGAAGGAAAGGGTCAATCCATCTCCAATGGATTTAATATAAAACTGTCACACAAAAACATAATAAAATAGGTTGTTCGAGCCGTGTTTTTAATGACAATCACGTAGTCTGAGGATCCGAGACTCAGCTATGTGGTTGTGTTCGCATGCAAACGAAAGCTGATCAAAAGTCGTTTGACTGATGGCCTAAAAATGGTAACTTTTTACTTTGCCCTAAACAGACCAGAAAATCAACTGGCAAGGTCGAGACGGTGAAAAACGAGTAGAATTAAGGTAACTGACGCCTGCCAGTCGTTGATAGGTACTTTTTCTACGCTCCGTCGCTGTGTGATATTTGGGCGAATGTTACAAATGGGCGGACTTAACATCAAGCTGCCATCCGATCATGAAAGCTATCTAGAATGGTCTATGGAAACATCACTAGTACTGGAATCTCAAGATCCTGTTACAGCAGTAACAAAGCAAGAAAACTTAGGTGGTTACACACACGTAAGATACAATGAAATTAGAGACACAATCGCCAACCTCATGAACGAAGTTTGCCATGACGTCGAGATTGAGCCGAAACTTCAGCCGTTGCAAGACGAAAGCTTTGTCAAAATTTAACTACAACTGAAGATGAGGCCCGACTTGACATTAAGGCAAACGGATTCTGGGGTTCACGAATCAGCCGCGCTGTCTTTGATTTGAATACTTTCAACCCCAATGTCAAAACATCGCGAAAACTGCATAAAGACGCATACAAATACCACGAAACGCTGAAGAACTCCAAATATCAGCAAAGAATTTTAAACGTAGAGCAGAGTAGCTTCTGTCCGCTAATTTTCGGATGCACCGGTGGCGCTGCTCCAACAGACTAAATGAAAAAAAGACAAGAAAGCTATCCAGAATCCATAAACTATATAAGAACTAACATAAGCTTCGCGCTCCTGAGGAGCTCTATATTTTGTATAAGCGGTTGCAGATCGCTACGCAAAGTTCAATTTATCGACAATTCCATAAGCGCTATTGTAGAGGAAGAACGGCTAAGATATATTAACATTACGACGATGCATTCAATGCTGATTTATGACTTCATTGCTGATATATATGCATTTTATAACGCTGGTATGGCCCTATCCAGCTTGTGCACGTACCGTAACTAAACGGAAGGGCCCCTTTTGTAATTTAGTTTTTTTTCTTTATAATATGATAGATCACTCGGCCCATTCTTATGATTATTGTGAAATCTGATTTTTCGTGCTTAACAAAATGAAGAAGAAAGAAAGATAAGCAAATAAATACCACCCAATGGTCAGAAAATCAAAAAGAATATAAAAATAGTTAGAATATCAAAAGTAGCATAGTAACCGGGATTACAGCCAGGAGTCCCTTTCACCACATAATTTTTAATATGATAGATCACTAGGCCCATTTGTATGATTATTGTGGAACCTGAGTTTGCTTACAAATAAATTGCAGAAAAAAAGAAACGCAACTAAATAACACCCGAATACAAAGTTACTCCCCATTTTCAGTGGGTTCAGTTCCGTCGAAATAAATGTGTCTACCAAAAAATGGACGTCATTGAATTTGTCTTGGTCTGGATGTGTAGGTCCCATAGACTAACTCATCCACCCATCCCAGCAATAAGCCCATCCCGGCAATTAGTTATCTATTTTCAAGCTTAAGTCGATTGAAGTTTCACGAATAATAAAAACTGAAACCGGTTTTTCTCGACTCTGGGAAAATTTTTTGGAAAGATCTTTAATATGATAGATCACTCAGCCCATTCTTATGATTATTAATGAACCTGATTTTGTGTCCAAATGAAAGAGAAGGAAAAAAGATAAGCTATTAAATAACAACCTAATTCGAAGTTCCTCCCCATTCTCAATGGTCAGAACAAAAAGAATAAAAAAAATTGTATGAAGTAATTTATTTATGAAATAACTTAGCGTGAAATGACTCAATAGTTTCAGGAGGATGGTGGCAGTCAACATTGCTCTTTCTAAGTATTGGTAGAAAATGCCTTTTTGTGCGAGCCAGATTGAGCCAAATTGTCTAGCCCGAAAAAGTGATACAGAAAATGTAGAAGATCCGCATTTTGAGGATTTTAATCAAGTAACTGCGTTTACTATCGTGCAAGCTATTAGACAACTTTCATCTTTGACAAAAGAAGCTTCCGAAGTTTTTGATAACACTTTGAAGAGTATTCATGATTTCGTTCAAAGAACATCATTACTAGAGCCGCGATTGCGTGACATCGAGCAGGAAGTATCAAAACTCAACAGGAAGCGTAGCAAAGTGGGTAAGTACAGATTTTCTTACTTCGCCTCAAATAGATTTTTGCCGAATTCATTGGTCTTTCCTTTATGCTAGGTCGATCATCATTGTCAAAACAGAATGTAGCCAACTCAGACTGGAAGTTCCAGGTCGGGTTGACCGAAAATTTGTTTATATCCGATTTGAGACCTGTTTGCGTAGAAAGGTACCGCGCGCGTCATACTGAATCAGCATTTGTCCAATTAGCACGCTACAAAAATTACATCAAAAGTCAAATTGGCAATGGAAGTGCCAATGGATCTTTCGAAAGTTTGAGTTCTCAGCTTTCCCAAGGCTCTCTTTCCAGTGGATCGGGACCAAAGTTCATCAAAAATACAAAATCTAAAAGGGTTTGTCTGCATGTTTTAATAAAATGATTTTTTTTAATATAAAAAGTATATATTAGCTCAATTTTTAGGCGGCATCATTAAACCGATTTTCTTTCCGACGGAAAAATCAGAGACAAGAATCTTTTCAAGCTTCGCAGACCGAAAAATCGTCGCCTGTTTCTATTTCAAAGTTTAAGCACTTTCCCCGACCTAACTCGTGCGATGTTCTTAACTCGGAAGATACACAAAGCACCGCCAGTGATCCTAATGAAGACCGCTTCGGCTCAATCCATTCCAGAGTGAGTTTAAATTTAAACCAACTTACTAAAGTTTTCTATAAATCCAATGCATACATGCATGTGCAGATTGGTTAAATGTTTAATTGATTGTTTTCATTAGAGCGCATCTGAGAGTCATTTGCAAATGGTAAGAGTTTCTGTCTACCCTCGAGACAAGTTTGACTTCTTTCCATTGTAGTTTATTGCACTTTTGGTGTGGTTCTTAGGTTGGTGTGATTTAATCAATCTAAATAAATATCAAAAATTTAACAAGGGTAGCCGGTTACTGTTCCAGTAGCTCCATGTTCCGACAATACTCTTAAAGACGATTTTGTTTTCAAATTAGTGTCGTTTTTTTTCTGTGGGGTGATATAGAAAAATCTGAACAAAACACAGAAATTAAGAAAAAGTGACAGTCATAGTCGAATAGGCCAATTGGAAAACAGTTTTTGTAGAAGATTGGCAAAAAAACGTAAGAACAATTTACAAAATTAGAGTGCTAAAAACTCTACTTGAGTAAAACTAAGTTTTCACGGCCTAATTTGGGCTCAAATGAGCTTTTGTAAGCCTGCACGCTCATCCTATTAGTTCGAAATCAGACCAAAAATCAAGTTTCAAACCGGTTTTTCTCAACACAGAAATTTTTTTGGAAGTTTTTCAATGTCGTTCGAATCACGACTGAAATAGCTTCAATATGCGCGTTTATAAAAGGATCTGAACGAAAGGCTAGAGCTTCGGCAATTTTGACAGTCATAGTCAAATCAGCAAAATGGACAATTTTTATAGAGAAATGGTTAGAAAAGCAGAAAATAATTTAAAAAAAAAGACATTGAGGATTTTAAATGTTTTCTTTTTCAATCATTTGCATTTTTTTTTTGAAGTTTTTGATTCCCAAAAGACGCTGAAAAACTGGTTTTACTCGAGTGAAACTAAGCTTTCCAACCATTGTTTTCCAACCATTGTCTTAGGATATCGTTTGTAAGCCTGTTCGCTCGTTTGATTCGCTGGAATTAAGATTAAAAATTAAAAAAATTAAACCTGCTTTTCTCGATACTGGAACAACCTTTTCGAAATTTTTTGTCGTTTGAATCACGACTGAAAGGCCTTAATTTGATATATCACTCGACCCATTCCGATGATTATTTGTACCTAATTTTGCGTGGAAAACAAAAAAGAAAAAACTATAGAGAGCTGCAAAAAGTTCGGACAGACAGAGTTAATTAAAAAGAGCAACTGTCTAGACATCAACGGAAATTAAAACTGAAATAAACATAACGTCGAAAATTTATAAAGCTGAGTTTCGCTCAAAACCTATAACCACGGCGGGCAATGGCATCCGAAGCGTCGATAAGTAAACCTTGAAACAGGAAATTTATTGCTCAGGATGGCTAATGTTTTTCTGCATTTTTTCAAAATTTTGAATGATTTGATCATCTTCATTTCCGTTTGCTTTTTTTTGGGCGGCCTAATCTGTTGTTTTTGATGAAAATAACCCTAGATTTTGATTTTTAACTAATTTTTCTAACTGTTTTATAGTAAAACCTGGATTCTCATTGCAGTATTTAAAAACTAGGCTAGCATAATCATCGGATAATCGACGATCTCGCGTTTTGATTTTGGTCTGACAGAAGTTTCAACGTTAATCGGCTTCAGATTTTTCATGCAAAAAAGCGTCAAAAAGCACTGATTGCTCATTTTAATTAATTCTGTCTGTCCGAACTTTTTGCTACTAATTATAAAACACATCCGAATACAAAATTCCTCCACATTTTTCAAGTGGTCGTAATCTTCCTACCATTTTCTTAAAAAATACATCTGTTTGTTTTTCAAATGAGCGTCGTTTTTTCAGTGTGGTTTGATAGGATATCAGAGCAAAAAATAGAAATTTATCAAATGCGACTGTCAGTCAAATAGGCCAATTAGAAAAGTTTTCTTAGAAAAATGGCAAGAAAAACTAGAAAAATATATATATATATATTGATTTTTTTTCGTTCCCAGAGCAATATCAAGGCCCTATTTGGACGAATTTCGGTGCGCAAGTTTTTGAAAAAAACAGGTCAAAAAAGCCGTTTTTGGGCACTTTTTGGAAAATTTTGACAAAAAAATCGCGTTTTTTTTGGCGCGCGCTCCCCCTTAAAGTGAGTATAAAACGGCGCCAAATTTTTAATAAATGGATTTCTTAAAAAGTACCCAAGGGGGATCCTTCGGGTCGGCAGGGGGTCGAATCTCTGAGGATGAGGCGTCCGGCATACCCACCCTAAATCCAACCCTGGTCTTGCTGATTTTTTGTTTTTTTTTTCAGAAAAAAGTCTTGAAAATTGTTCGCTCAATTTTGATTTTTCGCAGTTTGAACTCTTTTTTTTCCAATCTGAGTCGCAAATTTTGTTGCAACAAAGTGTGTTTATTTTGAGAGTGTTCATTTTGATCAATAACCAGCCATTAAGTACAGCCAGTGCTAAGGATATAACACAGACTATTATATTACAAATAGCACTTTAGCTTCAAGGTATCATAGATCTGTAGCGTAGAGGTAGGGAAAGAGACCCGCAACAAAATAAGATGGTCAAACCTGGGCAGAGTCGGATGTTTTTAATGAACTTTCTCGTATACTAGTTAAAATGCGTCCGCTCTATCAATTGAGGCATGGGCTATTTTTCCTTTTCCCTCCAACTGCAAGTTTTTACAAGTAAAATTACTGTTCCCACCAACCGATTGTTATGAAAATTGACATGCATACTAATTAGGCCATGACAAACATATATGGTTTTCATAATTAACCTTGTAAAAACCCTCATTACTCCATAAAGTTGATGCTAATGTGAGGTGGGGGGTAAAAGGAAAAAGAGCCGAGGCATGTGTGTTGGTAAATTTCTTTTTTTTCTAAATTGACTGGTACTGCTAATGCGTCTTAATTGGCTTGCGTCATTTAGCAATTATGTAGACTCATAATTGGCGTGCGTCACTTAAGAAATTTTGTAGACTCAAAGTTTTACTCAGTTTTCCCAGTAGCGTTATTGGTCATATTTGCTTGTGTATGCGATGTGCAACTTCTCCTCTGTGTCATTTATCATTGTGGTTTTCTATTTTATTTTCTACCCTTCTTTCTTTATTTCTTCAGTTTATTATTTGTTCAAACTCTTTGGTTCTTTCTTGCTTGTGTCGAATGTCTATTGATGCTCGACGTAGAGGTGAAATTGTTAAGCATTATGGTTGGCTTCCGTATTCCAGTGCTTACTTTTCGTTTTCTTGTGTTTTGATGGAAGTCACTTCGACGAAAGTTGGGAAAACCACGTAGTTTTCCATCCACATAAACTTTCATCACACCTAGTTCTGGAACGTAAAAGTCAAGTAGAAGTCATTGGAAGTAATGAAAAATAAGCTACAAAGTCGGGACTCCATCCTGCTGTTGTGCTATCAGAATTTGTGGGTTTGTAAGGCTGCCCTTAACCACAGTGCGCCTCCAAGATTGTCCCGTCAGGACGTGGGTCAGCATCTGTTTATTGCCCACTTCTCAATGATACGAGCTGTCACAAACTGGGTCGCAAAGCTCTACGGTAGTATCCAATTGGTTGATAATCTAGTGTAAATGATACGGTGGTTCGGAGGATGATCTTGTTTTCAAAATGCAGACTCAGTTTTCAGATGCAGTCAAGATCTGAATTGGTACGGCTACTAGGACAGGCGTCACCATCTAAAAACACTCCCTAAATTGTTCGTGACTAGTCATTCATCAGATTTAAATGAAGGTCAGCCGACAGTCGTTCTTGGCTAACACTCAAGTGCGGGAGGCAGGGTTCTATATTTGCGATAACGTCTTTGTTCTACTCCTCAACAACATTTTAAGTAGCATAGAACAGCTTTGATTTGATAGACATTTTATCACAGAGTTCGAGCGTTAAATTGTAATATATTTTAATGTAAATACTCTTCACAAAAATTATTGACTCTTAATAAAACTATAACATGCCCAAAGATGAGTTCCTCCCCATTTCTAGTGGTCCAGATTTTTTCGTTCCAACCACTAAAAAGGGGGAGTAACTCATCTACGGGTAAGTTTAATTTTTGTTCGGCTGTTCGACAGGCGAACTCGGTTGTTCCCAGTTTGAAATTTGGTTTATTTAAATGTTCCGTCCATTTCTTTAATAAAAAAAGGTAAATTCGACTGTCGAACAGCGTGCGTGCAGGTAACGAAACCAAAAAATTGACAGCGATAAATTGGTCTTGAAATTCAAATGCTTTAAGGCAATATATTCTTCTTTGAAATTCGAATGCTCAAAGTTTTCAACACCTGTCTTTGAACATTCTTTGACTCATTTCCATTTTCCGTTGCCTGTAATTGTGTTTCACGCATAATCAGGTACCACAAACAATCCTTAGAATGAGTCAAGTATGTAATGACATAGGGACTAGTTTTGAGTTATGTAAAGTCTTCGGTTTCCGTCTGGGGACCTGCTGCTGTTGACCTTGTGATCGCTATTTGTCTGGCGTACACTGAAACAAATGAGTCCAGTTGATTTAGGTATTTTTAACAATACAGTTGCTTCATGAAATTAAAGTTATTTACTCGTGCCTTACACCTATAACATGGCGCAGCAAGCGTTAAGAAAAGTGGGGGGGGGGGAGAATCCAATGAATGTATAGTCATTTTGGGACTCGCGCACGCCGGAGCCGCCAACATACTGGGAAGAGTGGATAATCAATTTCCACTGGCGAATGATTGCTAAGTATGATATAGATCCAGATGGTTTTTACTTCGATGATGCCTTGGATGAAACGGCGATAGCTGGGGACATGAACGGGAACAATCTTTTAGAGGCGGAGAAGTTAAAGTCCAACCTGTACCTTTGTATCGGAGATGAAGCACAAAGAATCGTTAAAGCTCGTAAACCGGCGGCTAGTATTAAGACGGAGCGATACCACGAGTTCCAAACGAGATGCAGAACGTTTTCAAACAAGAGCGAAATGTTACACACGAGCGATGATTGTTTCACGGAAGGTAACAAAAAGATAACGAAACATTTGAGAAATTTCATGCAGAGTTAATTGCCTTGGCCGGGAGATGCGTTTTCGCTAATGCCACAGAAAATATTCGAGAAATTTTCATCATGAATATGCCTGAATTCGATTGTCAAGGAGAACTGTCACGAT